TCCAAGAGAGGTTTTTCCCCCCCCCCCCCCCCGCGAGGGTACATGCATTTGCCAGAGAGAGGGAAAGAAGTGGCAAGTGAGAAAGCACCCTCCATGGGAGATAGCCCTACTGTATGTAATCCCTTCTCTTCTATTTCTCCCTTCAAGATTTTGGCATGCCATGTAAATGTGCCCAGTGTGTCACGGACTCTAGCCATATAGTTGACCATGGAGAGCTAGCTCCCTTAACCATCATGCCACTGTCTGGCCCAAGTTGTCTTTTAGATATACAAGTTGACATATCAAGTGGATAAGTATATATGTGTATAGTTTTGCAGCTCAAAGGAAGGAATATAGAATCTTTCATATATTGTAATTAATTTTGAAGCCTAGTATGTGGTAGATAAAAACTTTTGAGAGAGCAAAAACAAAAAAGGAAATGAGATTATATAAAACAAACTGAGATCTAGAGACACTAGATTTTTTTAAAGAGGTTTCTCTTTTTTGCTATAGGGCGTGTGCACTCGCCAGACAGACAGAGAGAAACAGAGAGACAGAAACGAGAAATCACCCCCCAGGTGGAATGGTCACGCCACAGTCCCTTCTCCTTCGTTCTCGTCTCGGGATCTTGGACATGCACGCACACGTGCCCGGCATGAGTTTAAGCCACCGGGTCTGGGACGCGAACCACGGTTGACTACATGGGAGTCCAGAGACATAGCCATTACTCTAACTGCTGGTCCCAAGAGACACTAGATTTTTGTTGGAGATTTGATCACACTAATTGCTGATGGACTTAAATATGTTGACATTCTTTTTTCTCTGAGACATATAGAAACTTGAAGATTGGGTAGGTAGTGTATTAATATGTGTCATAATAAAATATAAACAGGTCATGATGATTCAAACTGAATTGAAAATTGAAACGAATTTCAATTGTAATTGAAAATGAAGATCAAACGTTAAGAAACATGAATTTGAAGAAATTGTCTTAAATATACATCAACAAATGGTCAGAAATAGAAATTTCTCATATATGTTGTGTAATTTTTCCTATAGAGTTGTGTATTTCAATTTGTTTGTTTGTTTAATTTCTTATTGGGCACATACACTCACCAGAGAGGATAGAAAGAGAGAGAGGGAACGGGAGAAAATAAGCCACCAGGTCCCGGTCTCAAACCGCATTTGGCCGTGTGGGAATCCAGTGCTACAACTACCATGCCACCTGCTGGCCTGTGTTGTATAACATTTAAGTTAATCTTTATCAAGTCTAATGATCTAGACACAAAAATGAATGTGAAAGTAACGATATAATAAGATTGGGCTAATAAACATATACATATGTTTTGAAATCTGTACCTCAGTGATTATATATTAGATTTTTTTGAAAATCATGACACATTTTTGTTTAGAAGAACAGAAAAATTAAGTCGTGACTTTTCTGACACAACCAATTAATACTTTTCCTATGTGAACATGGTCTATATAAAATCTGTACCTTAGTGATTATATATTAGATTTTTTTGAAAAATCATGACACACTTTTGTTTAGAACAGAAAAATTAAGTCGTGACTTTTCTGACACAACCAATTAATACTTTTCCTATGTGAACATGGTCTATATAAAACCTTACTTAGATGGTTTTACATAGCCCATGTATCTGGCTTTAAAACCTTATATGGTAGGCCAGCAGTTGGCATGGTGGTTAAGGCACTGGACACTCCCACATGACCAACCACGGTTCGGGTCTTGAACCTGGTGGCTTGCTTCCTCATTTCCCCCCCCCTTTCTTTATCTCTGTCTCTCTCTGGTCAAATTAAAATAAATAAATGAATAAATAAAATATTTGTTGAGACATTTTTGCTACAGGGTACGTGCGTTCACCAGAAAGACAGACGAAAGAGAGAGAAAGCGAGAAATCACCCCCAAGGTGGGGATAGCCATGCTGCAATCCTTTCTCCTCGGAATCTTGGGCACGCATGTATACACACTCGGCATGAGTTTAAGCCACAGGGTCCAGGCCTCGAACTGCGGTCGGCTACATGGGAGTCTAGGAATATAGCCATTATGCCATCTGCTGGTCCCAAAAATAATTCTTTTTTTTTTTTTTAAAAACAACAACATTGTTTTACGTACACCGTGTTCACATGTCATACTTCCCCCCTGCCATGTGGACAATATGGGAAATATGAAAATAGGTGATATAAAAAATATCTCAAGTTTATAAGTAATGTTACTTAATTTTTTATTATTTGCAGTATTATCATGTTATTTGCAATATTATGATATATTTGCTATTTATATTATGTAATATGTTATATTGTCATGTTGAATCTGTATACTTGTGAGCACGTTTATTTACTCATTTATTTGCTTATTTGTTCAAACAGTTCAGAAACTATTGCTAGATGTTGGTATATCCTGCTTTCTGGGTCTGTGCTTGTGAAAGACTCCATGGTGTTGCCTCCTTGCAGGTTAGTTTATATTTTGCTATTCAGTGCATATGCATAGTTAACATTATAACTGTTTTTTTCTTATGTTAAATTGTTTTGTGTATAATATGTATTTTCCCTCAGTAGGTGGTACATTTTTTTAAAATGTCTTTCTTGTTGATACCATGGAAAGTACTTGCCAGGAATCAATTAGTATCTCATATTTCTGAGTGTATAATCTTCAGGTTTACACTCAGACATACTGACATAGTATCTTCTACCTGTTTGACTCAAGTATCATCATCAGGCTTTAGCAAGATATAATACTCAACATTCTTAACAGGAGCTTGTCAAGGTTTACAGTCTCCAGCCAGAATGCATGAATTCTCTGTTCTCCCACTTTGGCAAATTACTTGCTCTCTTTGTGTCTGGGTTTCCTCATTTGTCAAGTGAGGATAAAAATAGAATGTATTTCATAGGCTAGTTCTAAGAAAAAACTGAGTTAAGAATCTAGTTTCCGCATTTGTCAAGTGAGGATAAAAATAGAACGTATTTCATAGACTAGTTCTAAGAAAAAACTGAGTTAAGAATCTATAGGAAGTTTTAAGAACAGTATCTGGCTTTAAAAGTAACTGTTGGTGACCAGCAGGTGGCGTGGTGATAAAGACACTGGACTCCCACATGCTTGACCACAATTCAAGTCCTGGACCTGGTAGCTTAAATTCACACCAGGCGTGTGTGCGTGGATTCCCAAAATCCTAGGAGGAGAGTGGAGGAGAAGGGATTTGGGCATGACTATACCCCCCAGGGGGTAGTTTCTCACTTTCTTTCTCTGTCTCTGGTGAGTGCATGTGCCCTATGACAAAAACTAAAAAATAATAATAATAGGTAATTGCTAATTATTATCATCATAATTTTTAGGTGTTGGAAAGATGTTAACAGTTCTTAAAAACTTTGGGGCCTTAGTATGCTATGGTGACAGAAATTTGTTTTTCATTGACTTTTTCCCCATAATATTGAGAAGAGACTTCTAAGCTTTTAAAATAAGACTTGTTTGTGGCTAGGGTTTTTTTCAAGGCAAACTTTTTACTTTAGGTTTATAAGATTTTTAGGTGTTGGAAAGATGTTAACAGTTCTTAAAAACTTTGGGGCCTTAGTATGCTATGGTGACAGAAATTTGTTTTTCATTGACTTTTTCCCCATAATATTGAGAAGAGACTTCTAAGCTTTTAAAATAAGACTTGTTTGTGGCTAGGTTTATTTACAGGCCTAACTTTTACATTTAGGTTTAAAGGGGCTAGCTCCATGGCCTGCTGGTTGAGGTAGCCAGATTTTAGATGTCCACTAGTGCTGTTCCAGGTCTGGACCTGGCAGCTTGAGAAACACGCCAGGTACATGCATGTGCATACCTAAAGTCCTAAAAGGAGGAAGATACAGAGGTGAAGGGTTTGTGGGTGGCCATTCCCTTTGAGGGATGCTTTCTCCTCGCCTCTTTCATGAATGTGCACTCTAACTATATATACATATGCACACACATGTGTATACATATGTATACATACATATGTGCACAAATATATACACATAGGTATATTTATATCGTGGTATGGGGCATCTGAGTTTAGATGTCATTTAAGTTTGTTTCTTTATTGTGAGAGGAGGGCCATAGGTACCCTTATACCTCACCACACCTTGATTTCCCCCATGCCTTCCAACCAGGTAGGATTACAAGTGCACATGAGCATGCCCAGCATGTTCAGGTTGACCTAGGATCTGAACTTGGGCATCCCATGTGGTTCCAGTATTGTACAATGGTGCCCTTCCATCCGTACTACCACAATTAGGCCTAGATGCTAGGTGTTTTCCTTTACTCACTATAGAAAGTGTGTGCACCTGAAAGTGAGAGGGAAGGAGCGAAAGAGAGTGACTAGCACCCTCCAAGGCATCTGGTTATGCTGCAATTGCCTTCTTTTAGACTTCCAGCCCATTAGATCCTGGACATTCATGTGTGTGCCTGGCATGTTTTTCATCTGACCCAGCCAGTGATTCATACCATGGAATCTGGCTTCTCTAGAGGAGCACTGTATGGCTGCACTATGGAACTGGCCCTAGATGCCATTTTTTAAAGTCCTGTCTTGAGTCCTAAAACTTCACATTGTTGGCCTTTGGATAAATGAAATTTGTGTCTTTTTTTTTTTTTTTTAATTCATGGTAAAACATGTGCACATGAACCAGAGGTTGTGGGAAGAGAGAAGCACCCTCCACAGGGGTCACCCACGCTCACTCCAGCTCTTTAGCCTCCAAGGATCCTGGGCATGTTCTCATGTGCCTGGTGTCTTCAGGCTGACTGGGCCCAGGACTTGAATGACAGTCAGCATGTGGCCCCCACCTCTGCCCTCCGGTACACCATCAACTGCTACATAGAGGCTGGGCCTGCTGCTTCCCTTGTCCCCCTCTTTATTAATGATAGAGAATGCATGAGAGAGAGAGAACTCTCCACAGGGTCTTACCACACTGTGATAAGTTTTCACCTCTGGTTTTCTACTTATTGGATCTTGGGCACCTGCCCTTGTGCCTAGCCTGCCTCCAGTGGACCAGGCCAGAGATTCTAATTGGGGTAGTCCTGTGGGATCCATCTTTTGAGCAATCCATTAATGCTGTGCCAGTGAGCTAGCCCCGGGCTTCTTGACAAGTAGAAAAATATAGTTGACGGTTATTATAAATATAGTATGTAGTAAGCCTTTGGCTGATGTTCCTTTAACAGTAGTGAATTTGTATTGAGGTTAGTCACTAAGATAGAATATACTGGGTTAACACTGCCTACAGTTATAAGATTAATTGTTTTAATTTTGAATATTTTTCCTACTCCTGCTGTTATGAATATTCATTAATGAATTACTGTGACTTGCTACTAGTTTATAATCAACACAGTGAAGTTTAACTTTTTAAATAATTGATGACTGTATGAGATTTTTTTTAAAAGTCATGATGTGTGTTAATATAACTATCTTGAGTGTTACTGCAAACATGAATAAAGAATTTAATCTTTTTTATTTATTGTTTTGAAATTTCACTTCTTATTTTTTACATTAAATCACTTCATATCTTTACGGCATGCAATATGGATTTTCCTAGCATGGATACCTTGTACATTAGTCCAGTCAAAGATATTATCATATGCGTTATTATAACCAGATAATTTTCCATTTTAGTGTTCATTAAATGTTTTGCTTCTTTTTCTCTCCCCTTGATTTCCACCCTCCCACTCCCCCCATTGCCCACCCTCCTTCCACAGTCTCTAGTATCTCCTTGCTCTCCATGCCTTTATACCTTCCAGTCTTCCCATTACTGCCATAGAGTGCAGACATATGTTATATATTAAATGGGGACATACAATGCTTTTCTTTCACAGTCGGGCTTGCTTCACTCAGCATTAAATCTTCCATGTTTGCCCACTTTCCATCAGATGTCAGTGTCTTACTGTTTTTCATGACTGAGTAGTATTCTATAGTGTTTATGTGCCATACTTTTTCAATCCATTCATCTGTTCTGGGTCTTTTGGGTTGATGCCATGTTTTCAAGTGGTGTGGTGGTTAAGGACGCTGGACTACCACATGGCCGACTACAGTTTGAGTCCGGACCTGGCAGCTTACTTTCTCACTCACTCCCTGAAAAGGGATTGTGCTTGGCCATCCTCCCTTGGGCATGATTTCTTGTGAGTGAGTGTGTGTGTGTGATCTCTCTGCAAGTGCACACGCCCTATAGCAAAAATCTCTCTCTCTCAAAACAAAACATAAGTGTAAAGGATAATACCCTTCTGCTGAGGGAGAATTCCCAAAGAAGGAATAAGCTTGAAAGGGGAACTCTTGACTGGAATTCAGACTTTGTTGGAGAGTATATTGAAACTCAACAGAGAGCTGAGTTCACTGAGTTGCCTTGGGCCACATCTGGTCCACAGTCCATTGATCAAAATAGGTTGGAAGGAAAGTACTTACTAGGATTTTAAAGCTGGTAGACCCTGAGGCTGGGCGGGTGGAGTGGGGAGAGGAGGAGACATACAAGAAACCTCCCATTTGCAGGGAAAACTTTCCTATTTCAGTGTCCCTCTGGCACCCTCTACTGATAAAGCTTTAACAGTTCCAGCATGCAAAAGAGAGAATTTACACAATCCATATCCTTTATTACAGAGTAGGACAATGGAAGGGAAGATTTGAAACTGAAAGCCAATATATTAGGAGTTGAGAGACAATAATTGGCACAGTTATCTGTTCTGGACTTAGCTACTCAGCATTCATATGAATGCTTCCCAACTAATTTAAAGTTCTATTCAACAACAAAACAATTGTTTCTGCCTAACAAGACACAACTGTCCTTGATACAAATAAGAAGTTCTGACCTTCTTACCAAAATAAAGAGATTCATAGCACCAACAATCTTTGTTATATTAATTATGTATTCCATCATAGTGCCTCTGAATATTCCATTAATTAAAGACTACCTTACCAAATCTACTTCCAACAATTTGTATGTGAAATAATACACAAAATATAACCATATATACAATAAGCAAAGTGAAAAATAAGAAAAACTATTACAGTCTTTATTTCTGTACCATTTTTTATATCACTGGCTGCCTTCTTTCTACTCTCAGCTGGGACTTCAGCTGCTCTGGGTTCTTTACCTGACAGCAAGAACAAAACCATCATTTCTAAAGGGTCTTCAGCTGTCCTGCCTTTTTTGGTGGCTATAGCTTTCTATTACCTTTTTTTTTAAAGAGGTTTTATCTTAGGGCGCTGGCCCTCACTGGAGAGAGAGAGGGATACTCCGGTTCAAGTCCCAAAGACAGTGAGAGAGGAAGTGAAAAATAACCCCCCAGAGAAGAAGGTGGCTACACCACAATCCCTTCTCCATTCTCCTCCCTGGATCTTGGGGATGCAAGCACATGCACCCAGCGTGAGTTTCAAGCCATTGGATCTGGGACTGGAACTGCTGTTGGCCATGTGGGAGTCCAGCAATGTAACCTCTATGCCATCTACTGGCCCCTC